TTTGAGGGAACCTGGCCAATCCACTGGGAAGAGGCTAGGCTTGGTGACCAATGCCAACCCTTAAGTGTGGCAGAGCCTGGGGGGTGTTATTGTGAGCCGGGTGGAAGATGGACTGAGAAAAGGCTGGAGTGAGGAGCCTGGGAGAGGAACCTACCTATAGGAAGGATCTCCACTGTCCCACCATCTCCTAGGGAGGATAACCTCTCAGCAGGGCAGGAGCCAGCCCAGCGAAAGGCCTGAGTCAACCACCAACCCACCAGGCTAACAGATCAGGACAGCCTCTCTGGGCCAGATAAAGGGAGAGGGTGGACAGGTGCAAGACCCAACTAGTTCTCATCTGGGACTACTTAACTATTAGCTCTTGGAATCTCTTGCCCAGGGATACCCTCAGTGCAGCTGGGTGAAGAGGAGGATTCATCCAGGGTCTGAGGATGTACAACGAGGGGACTTCAGTGCTCCTTAAAAGAGACAGTGTACAGGTTGCTAACAAGTTTGTCCTCAAGTTTGCAAATCCTCGGGCATCCCATATACCCTAGACCCCATCCAAGTTGTTAACCCCTTAATAAAAACAACTAAAATCCAGCTCAAGGACTGTAGTACTGCCTCCGAGTGTGTGAAGATGTGGAAAAATGTGTGTTGGACCCTGAGGGGGTAGTACTACACACACCAAATGTAGAAACAGTTTATATCTGTGTTTTGAGAAAAACGATTTATATCCATTACACTTTTAGAAAAATAGGTAAAATACAAAAGGTCCATGTCTGCACCTTAATATAGATTATGTCCTCAACAAATGAGGAGGAGATACTGTACACCATATGAAAGGTCCATCTCCATTCCTCAATATAACGTCATGTTCCCAACAAATGAGGAGGAGATACTGGACACCATATGAAAGGTCCATCTCCATTCCTCAATATAATGTCATGTTCCCGACAAATGAGGAGATACTGGACACCATATGAAAGGTCCATCTCCATTCCTCAATATAACGTCATGTTCCCAACAAATGAGGAGATACTGGACACCATATGAAAGGTCCATCTCCATTCCTCAATATAATGTCATGTTCCCAACAAATGAGGAGGAGATACTGGACACCATATGGAAGGTCCATCTCCATTCCTCAATATAACGTCATGTTCCCAACAAATGAGGAGGAGATACTGGACACCATATGAAAGGTCCGTCTCCATTCCTCAATATAACGTCATGTTCCCAACAAATGAGGAGGAGATACTGTACACCATATGAAAGGTCCACCTCCATTACTCAATATAACGTCATGTTCCCAACAAATGAGGAGGAGATACTGGACACCATACGAAAGGTCTATCTCCATTCCTCAATATAACGGCATGTTCCCAACAAATGAGGAGGAGATACTGGACACCATATGAAAGGTCCATCTCCATTCCTCAATATAACGTCATGTCCCCAACCAATGAGGAGGAGATACTGGACACCATATGGAAGGTCCAACTCCATTCCTCAATATAACGTCATGTTCCCAACAAATGAGGAGGAGATACTGGACACCATATGGAAGGTCCAACTCCATTCCTCAATATAACGTCATGTTCCCAACAAATGGGGAGGAGATACTGTACACCATATGGAAGGTCCATCTCCATTCCTCAGTTTAACGTGATCTGGTTTGGACTCGTAGTTTGGTGTCATAATTGCTCCCTATACAATACCAGAGCTTTCTGAATCTGTTGAGTTCCGTACCATCATGTATGACTCCTGAATGTAAGACATAAAACATTCCTATAACATTTTTCCAGCAGATGAACATTGCACACAAAGCCGGAACACCTCTAAGGGACACTTAATTTCATCTCCAGATCATAATGCAGAAGATGATGTCTTCACAGAACCTTCTCCTGAAGATCACCCCATTACTCATAATAGACATCACAGACTTCACCATCTGGAGAGATCAATGGACCCCTCTAGTCCCAAGGAATCTTCTCATGAATCACAGACTGTTACTCCAGAAAGACTTCTAAAATCTCAGAGTGCGGATAAATCAACAGATCCATGTAATTCCAAGGAATGTCCTTCAAGCCATGAAGGATTCCCCCTAGGAAGGCATTCATTCAGTCAAAACAGAGACCTTGTGCACAGAAAAAGTCACAGGAGCGAGCGTCCTCATTCATGTTCAGAGTGCGGGAAATGTTTCACACGGAAATACCACCTTGTTACACACCAGAGAATTCACACGGGTGTGCGTCCTTTTTCATGCTCCGTGTGTGGGAAATGTTTCACTAGTCAAAGAAATCTCATTAGACACGAGAGAAGTCACACAGGTGAGTGTCCCTACTCATGCACAGAGTGCAGGAAATGTTTCGCTGAAAAGGTAAACCTTCTTCTGCACCAGAGAAGTCACACGGGTGAGCGTCCTTTTTCGTGTTCAGAGTGCGGGAAATGTTTTAGCCAAAAAGGAAACCTTCTTCAACATCAGAGAATTCACACGGGGGTGCGTCCTTTTTTGTGTTCAGAGTGCGGGAGATCTTTCGCTACAAAAGGAGAACTTGTTCCGCATCAGAGAAGTCACATGGTTGAGCGTCCTTATTCATGTTCAGAGTGCGGGAAATGTTTCAAGACAAAAAGCAACCTTATAAGACACCAGAGAAGTCACGCAGGTGCGAGTCCATATTCATGTCCAGAATGCAGGAAATGTTTCAGACAGAAACAAAGCCTTCTAAACCATCTGAAAATTCACACAGGGGAGCGTCCCTTCTCATGTTCAGAATGCGGAAAATCTTTCATTGCCAAAGCAAACCTTCTTGAACACCAAAGAACTCACACAGGTGTGCGTCCTTATTCCTGTTCAGTGTGTGGGAAAGGTTTTTCACCGTGAAAGTAAGCCTCCTAACACACCAGAGAACTCACTCCGGTGAACGTCCTTATTCGTGCTCTGAGTGCGGGAAATGCTTCTTTGACAAAGGAACCCTTCGTAAACACCAGAGATGTCACAAGGGCGAGCGTCCTTTTTCGTGCTCAGAGTGCAGGAAATGTTTCACTACAAAAGGTGAGCTAGTCCAACATCAGAAATATCACACGGGCGTGCGTCCTTATTCGTGCTCGGTGTGTGGGAAATGTTTCACGGCGAAAGGAAACCTTCTTAGGCACGAGAGAAGTCACACGGGCGAGCGTCCTTATCCGTGCTCGGCGTGCGGGAAATGTTTTACTGCGAAAGCAAACCTTCTTCAACACCAGAGAAAGTCACATGGCTGAGCGCCCTTTTTCATGTTTGATGTGTGGAAAATGTTTTAGAAAAGACTATTTTGAGAATTTACGACCGGGAAGTGCCATTTTTCCTGCTAAGAGTGTGGGAAATGTTTAAAATATATAAACGTGTAATGAAATCTAACGATCGGCTGCTGAGGTCGTTGACAAAAGTGTGGCGGAATTTCACTTCCATTTATAAACGGGTAGAGCCCGACCAAAAGGGGGGCATTTCAGTTCCTTTTTTAAAGGCTCAATGGATGAGACCGGTTCCTGGCTCTCCCCCCCCCCCCCCACACTATTGGGGGTCCCCTCAGGCTCCATGGATGAGACCGCTTCCTGTCTCTCCCTCCCAGCCCCGCCCCCTATTGGGGGTGCCCTCAGGCTCAATGGATAAGACCAGTTCCTGGCTCCCTCTCCCAGCCCCCCCCCCATTGGGCATGCCCTCAGGCTCCATTGATAAGACCGATTCCTGGCTCTCACCCCTCCTTCAGGCTCCATTCACACGTGTGCAACTTCAAAATTGCGCAATTTTCATTACGACTTTTTGCAGTGCCACTTCGGATGAACGCCATTTTGGCTTTGACCACGGATGATGGTTTGTGCTGTACAAAATCGCACGCGAGTCGCACGTAACGCCATTCAGGCGTGATTCTGGAGGGATTACATTGAAGTCTGTGGCCCTCGAGTCGCATGAAAGTCATGCAGGAACTACTTTCCGGACTTGTAGTCTCACAGACATGGAGGGTAATCATGGGGGGACCCAGGGGGCGACTTGTCATGTGACTTTGGACCCCAGAGTCGCCTGAGTAAGAATGGGCTGTCATTCCTCTTTTTGCATTCACCACAGCAGGGGAGACTGGGAGCTGAGACCCAGCGATTGTGGATGGTAACCACGTGAGGGCCACATGTCCCGGGAAAGGAAGTGGTTAGCCATCTTATGGAATATTGGGCAAGTATGGGAATAGTTAGAGAATTGTTTTTATAGGTTAGTCTTTGCCGTTACATACACTATATTGCCGGAAGTATTGGGTCACCGGCCTTTCCACACACATGACCTTCAATGGCCCCCCAGTCTTAGTCTGTAGGATTCAATATTGAGTTGGCCCCGCCCTTTGCAGCTATAACAGCTTCAACTCTTCTGGGAAGGCCGTCCACAAGGTTTAGGAGGGTGTCTATGGGAAGGTTGGACCATTCTTCCAGAAGAACATTTGTCAGGTCAGGCACTGATGTCGGGGGAGGAGGCCTGGCTCACAGTCTCCGCTCTAATTCATCTCAAAGGGGTTCTGTGGGGTTGAGTTCAGGACTCTGTACAGGACAGTCAAGTTCCTCCACCCCAAACTGGCTCCTCCATGTCTTTATGGACCTTGCTTTGTGCACTGGTGTGCAGTCATGTTGGAACAAGAAGGGGCCATCCCCAAACTCTTCCCACAAAGTTGGGGGCATGAAATTGTCCAAAATGTTGCCTTAAGAGTTCCCTTCACTGGAACTAGGGGGCCAAGCCCAACCCCTGAAAAACAACCCCACACCATAATCCCCCCTCCACCAAACTTTACACTTGGCACAATGCAGTCAGGCAAGTACCGTTCTCCTGGCCAAAGCCAAACCCAGACAGGTCTATCAGATTGCCAGACAGAGAAGCGTGATTGGTCACTCCAGAGAACATATCTCCACTGCTCTAGAGTCCAGTGGCGACGTGCTTTACACCACGGCATCCGACACTTTGCATTGCACTTGGTGATGGAAGGCTTGGATGCAGCTGCTCGGCCATGGAAACCCATTCCATGAAGCTCTCTATGCACTGTTGTTGGGCTCATCTGAAGGCCACACCAAGTTTGGAGGTCTTTAGCTATTGACTCTGCAGACAGTTCGCGACTTCTGCGCACTGTGCGCTTCAGCATGCGCTGACCCCCGCCCTGTCATGTGACGTGGCCTACCACTTGGTGGCTGAGTGGCTGTTGTTCCCAGTTGCTTCCACTTTGTTATAATCCCACTAACAGTTGAGCGTGGAATATTTAGTAGCCAGGAAATGTCACGGATGGACTTATTGCACAGGTGACCACCTATCACGGGACCACGCTTGGAGTCACTGAGCCCCTGAGAGCGACCCAGTCTTCCACCAATGTTTGTAGAAGCAGTCTGCATGCCTAGGGGCTTGATTGTATACACCTGTGACCATGGAGGGGATTGGAACACCTGAATCACATGATATGGGGGGGGATTGGAACACCTGAATCACATGATTGGGAGGGGATTGGAACACCTGAATCACATGATATGGAGGGGATTGGAACACCTAAATCACATGATTTGGAGGGGATTGGAACACCTGAATCACGATATGGAGGGGATTGGAACACCTGAATCACATGATATGAGGGGATTGGAACACCTGAATCACATGATTGGGAGGGGAATGGAACACCTGAATCACATGATTGGGAGGGGATTGGAACACCTGAATCACATGATTGGGAGGGGCGGGGATAATATTTTTGGCAATATAGTGTATTGTTCTTTTTTTTTATTGCAGTAGCTGGCTTTTCATTGGTCCAGCCAATGTATAATTATTAATTTTGCTTTTACTTATACAAGATTTGATTTGGTTTTTTCGTCCATTCTGACTTTTTTTTTTTCAAATAAACAAGAAATCTCCACACTTTACAATATTCTGTCTCTGAGTCCTGATTTGTTCTTTATTACAATAGACCGCGCCTCTTCAATGTCTGGTGATTGGAATGTGATCCGTTTATAGAGTCTTCCATCGGGGTTTTATTAGTGAGATGGAGAGTGCAGGAGGTCCAGGTCCACACTTGTGTCAGCTGATATCCATGGAGCCGCTACAAACACCACATAGAACCTTCCCATCACCGCCATCTTGGTTCTCCTCCTCATGGGAAGGGATAGGGGGATATGATCTCCATGTATAATACATAGGGGGGGGGGGGTATGATCTCCGTGTATAATACTTAAGGGGGGATATGATCTCCATGTATAATACATAAGGGGGGATATGATCTCCATGTATAATACATAATGGGGGATATGATCACCGTGTATAATACATAAGGGGGGATATGATCTCCATGTATAATACATAAGGGAGGATATGATCTCCGTGTATAATACATAAGGGGGATATGATCTCCATGTATAATACATAAGGGGGGGGATATGATCTCCATGTACAATACATAAGGGGGGATATGATCTCCGTGTATAATACATAAGGGGGGATATGATCTCCATGTATAATACATAAGGGGGGATACGATCTCCGTGTATAATACATAATGGCGGATATGATCTCCATGTATAATACATAAGGGGGGATATGATCTCCATGTATAATACATAAGGGGGGATATGATCACCGTGTATAATACATAATGGGGGATATGATCTCCATGTATAATACATAAGGGGGGATATGATCACCGTGTATAATACATAATGGGGGATATGATCTCCGTGTATAATACATAAGGGGGATATGATCTCCATGTATAATACATAAGGGGGGGGATATGATCTCCATGTACAATACATAAGGGGGGATATGATCTCCATGTATAATACATAAGGGGGGATATGATCTCCATGTATAATACATAAGGGGGGATACGATCTCCGTGTATAATACATAATGGCGGATATGATCTCCATGTATAATACATAAGGGGGGATATGATCTCCATGTATAATACATAAGGGGGGATATGATCACCGTGTATAATACATAATGGGGGATATGATCTCCATGTATAATACATAAGGGGGGATATGATCACCGTGTATAATACATAAGGGGGGTATGATCTCCATGTATAATACATAAGGGGGATATGATCACCGTGTATAATACATAAGGGAGGATATGATCTCCGTGTATAATACATAAGGGGGGATATGATCACCGTGTATAATACATAAGGGGGGATATGATCTCCATGTATAATACATAAGGGGGGATATGATCTCCGTGTATAATACATAAGGGGGGATATGATCTCCATGTATAATACATAAGGGGGGATATGATCACCGTGTATAATACATAAGGGGGGATATGACCTCCATGTATAATACATAAGGGGGGATATGATCACCGTGTATAATACATAAGGGGGGATATGATCTTCATGTATAATACATAAGGGGGGATATGATCTCCATGTATAATACATAAGGGAGGATATGATCTCCGTGTATAATACATAAGGGGGGATATGATCTCCATGTATAATACATAAGGGGGGATATGATCTCCGTGTATAATACATAAGGGGGGATATGATCTCCATGTATAATACATAAGGGGGGATATGATCACCGTGTATAATACATAAGGGGGGATATGACCTCCATGTATAATACATAAGGGGGGATATGATCACCGTGTATAATACATAAGGGGGGATATGACCTCCATGTATAATACATAAGGGGGGATATGATCTCCATGTATAATACATAAGGGAGGATATGATCTCCATGTATAATACATAAGGGAGGATATGATCACCGTTGTTGGATTTTTAGACACATATAATACTTCTTCTAGTGTCTTGAGGCGATTATGAATGAAAGAGCCATTGAAATAAAAAAATGAAGTGTGACTTTATTCTATCACACAATGGTGTAAAATAACAATGTAAAGCGTATTATGAGCAGTTCCATGTAGATAAAACTACTGTAAAATGACAAGCAAACGTTTAAAACAAAGTCACCATTATCTGTCATGGCTGTCCTTGCCATGTGCGATTCTCACGTCCTTGTCCAACACAGAGTCTGAGAAAGAAAGAGCCGGACGTGACGTTAATGATGATCTCTTGTCTTGCAGCACCTGTTCCAGCATCTCATCCGTGTGTGTACGTGTATGTCAAAGTGTCAATATTAGTGTGTGAGTGAGTGTCTCCTTGTCCGTTCTCTCATGCACTTTTAAGAGGCAAATGTACGTCATAGTTAGTGATCTTAATATCTTCTATGGAAAGTATTACTGCTTAGCAAAGCCATTTCATATAAGGAAAAGATGCTATACATATGATGTTTGATGGACAGGAACATATGTATGCTGATGTACCAATGATGTAACCCTTAGCTATATATTTAAAAGATAGTATAGCTTAAGAACATATCAATGTATAATCACTAAACTATATATGTATCAGTGTTAGAAACGTATACTAAATACAAACAAATACCATTAAAATACGTAATGTAATAGTAAGTCACTTCTAATAACCTTGACATAACTATCAAATACTTCTATGCCTAAATATAGTATACTCAACCTTCAATTGGTATATCCTATTTCAGCTTAACTTGTATATCTTTTGGTCTCAGCTATAATTGAAGAATAGTAAATACTACCATTTGTCAAAGACCACTTACACATATTAATATTAATTATGACTAATCATAAAAACCAAATATTTTGCAAGCTTGCCATCAATATAAATGCCGAATCATAATTTAGATTTTAACAACCGTGTATAATACATAAGGGAGGATATGACCACCGTGTATAATACATAAGGGGGGATATGATCTCCATGTATAATACATAAGGGGGGATATGATCTCCATGTATAATACATAGGGGGGGATATGATCTCCATGTATAATACATAAGGGGGGATATGATCACCATGTATAATACATAGGGGGGATATGATCTCCATGTATAATACATAAGGGGGGATATGATCACCATGTATAATACATAAGGGGGATATGATCACCGTGTATAATACATAAGGGGGGATATGATCATGTATAATACATAAGGAGGGATATGATCTCCATGTATAATACATAAGGGGGGATATGATCTCCATGTATAATACATAAGGGGGATATGATGTCCATGTATAATACATAGGGGGGGGATATGATCTCCATGTATAATACATAAGGGGGATATGATCTCCATGTATAATACATAAGGGGGATATGATGTCCATGTATAATACATAAGGGGGATATGATCTCCATGTATAATACATAAGGGGGATATGATCTCCATGTATAATACATAAGGGGGATATGATCTCCATGTATAATACATAAGGGGGGATATGATCACCATGTATAATACATAAGGGGGGATATGATCTCCATGTATAATACATAAGGGGGATATGATCTCCATGTATAATACATAAGGGGGATATGATCACCATGTATAATACATAAGGGGGGGATATGATCTCCATGTATAATACATAAGGGGGGATATGATCACCATGTATAATACATAAAGGGGGATATGATCTCCATGTATAATACATAAGGGGGGATATGATCACCATGTATAATACATAAGGGGGGATATGATCACCATGTATAATACATAAGGGGGGATATGATCACCATGTATAATACATAAGGGGGGATATGATCACCATGTATAATACATAAGGGGGGATATGATCACCATGTATAATACATAAGGGGGGATATGATCTCCATGTATAATACATAAGGGGAGATATGATCACCATGTATAATACATAGGGGGATATGATCACCATGTATAATACATAAGGGGGGATATGATCACCATGTATAATACATAAGGGGGGATATGATCACCGTGTATAATACATAAGGGGGGATATGATCATGTATAATACATAAGGAGGGATATGATCTCCATGTATAATACATAAGGGGGGATATGATCTCCATGTATAATACATAAGGGGGATATGATGTCCATGTATAATACATAGGGGGGGGATATGATCTCCATGTATAAAACATAAGGGGGATATGATCTCCATGTATAATACATAAGGGGGATATGATGTCCATGTATAATACATAAGGGGGGATATGATCTCCATGTATAATACATAAGGGGGATATGATCTCCATGTATAATACATAAGGGGGATATGATCTCCATGTATAATACATAAGGGGGGATATGATCTCCATGTATAATACATAAGGGGGGATATGATCACCATGTATAATACATAAGGGGGGATATGATCTCCATGTATAATACATAATAAGGGGGATATGATCTCCATGTATAATACATAAGGGGGATATGATCACCATGTATAATACATAAGGGGGGATATGATCTCCATGTATAATACATAAGGGGGGATATGATCACCATGTATAATACATAAGGGGGGATATGATCTCCATGTATAATACATAAGGGGGGATATGATCACCATGTATAATACATAGGGGGGATATGATCACCATGTATAATACATAAGGGGGGATATGATCACATGTATAATACATAAGGGGGGATATGATCACCATGTATAATACATAGGGGGGATATGATCACCATGTATAATACATAAGGGGGGATATGATCTCCATGTATAATACATAAGGGGGGATATGATCACCATGTATAATACATAAGGGGGGATATGATCACCATGTA